AGCATCTTATTTTTGCTTCCCCAGGGAAAGGCCTATTTGTGATTGGAAGGTTTATCTTCATGGGCTTTTTGGCTGGGGTGAGAGTGAAGCCCCCGGGGACATGCCCTGGTAACAACAGAAACCCATCGCTTCCTCTGTTGGGGGTGGGTTTGGTGATTGTGGGTGGGCTGGGGGTGTGCTTGTGTGGGGACCAGGCTGGGGGCAGCTCTGCTTTCCTGTTACTCCCTGGTTCTCCACCTTTGGAAGGCAGCCTCAGCATTACGCAGAGTTGTGAAATCCAGCTCTCTGGGTGCCAGCCACAGACCTCTCCACTGCAAGGGTCTGGTGTGGGGCTGGCTGCGCCTCTGTGAGTAACAGGCAGATTAAGTGAGTCACAAATACACCAGAGTGTGAGAACTTTGAATCAGTTACTTCCCTCCATGGGCAGGCACATTGTTGCTGGAGTGGGAGATGGGCATAGGGGTAAATATTTTAATTTCAATAGCTGTGCATTTTAAGAGGTCTTGGAAAAATTCAGAGTTAACATAAAGGTTATCATGCAGGACAAATCTAGGTAGGTATTCAAAAACTTAAAAAGTGAATATTTCATTTTGTTTAAGAATTAAGAGATTAAAAAATTAATTAAATATTAGTGCAAGTGGACTGGTGATGTCATTCGTTTGTTAAGTCTTGTCCGACTCTTTGTGACCCCAAGGACTGTAGCCCACCAGGCTCCTCTGTCCATGGAATTCTCCAGGCAAGAATACTGGAGTGGGTTGCCATTTCTTCCTCCAGGGTATCTTTCTGACGCAGGGATTGAACCCAAGTCTCCCACATTGGCAGATCGGTTCCTTATTACCATTTCAGCCACCATGGAAGCCCACTGGTAACATGGCCAAAACCGTATAGGTGGTACCTGGTAGCTGTGGTTTGGTAAACCTAGTTCTGTAAAAGCAAATACTCAAGGGTATCGTTTTGAAGGTTTGAAGACAGATCATCATTGGCTCAGGGCAGAGTCCCAGGAGGGAAGGGGGTAGGTGGGGGAGGCTGCCCCTCCACAGTGGGCCCCTCCTTGCCCCGCCCTCAGGGGGAAGCTAGATTGTGTCCCGAGGGAGTGGAGCTGGGAGAATGTGTTTTGGGAAGTGCCAGGCGTGGTTAAATCCCACCTCCCTTTCCCGGGAGCAGCTGTTACCCATTGGGCTGGTGCAGGCCTCGGAGGAATTTCCTGCTCCTGAATCCCTGGCAGGTCCTGTGTGGTCTGTGCAGGGCTGGGGCGGGGTATGGGTGGGGGAGCAGGGGCCTCCCTCCCTGCTGTTTGGATACTTTGGTTCAGGGGCCACAGCCCCACACTGGGCTGGGCGAGGCTGGTATTTGCAATCCAGCAGTTCATCCTTCTTCTCCAGTGGAGAGTTGTTTTTACTTCCGGAGTTTGCTCAAACTCATGTCCATTGAGTTGATGATGCCATCCAGTCATCTCATCCTGTGTCGTCCCCTTCTCCTGCCCTCAGGAGAACCCTAGGGAGAGGTGCCTTAGTGCAGACGCAGGGGCGGTGCATGGGCTGGGGAGAGGCCATGCCAGGCCTTTCTGCCTGGGCCGTTCGTTCCTCACCTGCCGGGTGAATCAGAGCTGCCCAACCCCAGGACCTCTGTCCAGGGTGGAGCGAGCCCCGTCTTCGCTGTCTCCCCTCCAGGAGGATCAGAGGGGCATCTTCCTGGTAACCAGGAGGTTGTTACCATTGCCACCTTTGTGTGTGTGTGTTTCTAGGAAATTTACCAAGTTTTGGCCTGGGGTTCACATTTCCCACCCCCTTAGCAAAAGCTTTCACTCTTCACGCTCCAAGTGGAAGCCTTGAGGCTATAATTACATCGCATTTGCTCGGGAACTTGCTGAGGGGAGCGGGCGGGTGCACCTGGGAACCGGAGAGCGGCTGAGGGCCTGGTTTAGCTGCTGTTCATTTGCGGCTGTCATCCTGCTCCCTCTGGGGTCCCTCACACCCTCCCTTCCTTCACCTCAGGCCCCGGGCTGCTTGGCTGTTTGCTTCCACCAGCCAGCGTCCTGACAGGTGCGCTGGAGGAGAAAGAATGCCTGGCTGGCCCGGGAGGGCCCTCCCATGGAGGCGGTGCCCCCAGAACAGGCTTTGTGCAGACCGGCATCCTTGGGTCCTTGCCTGGCCCGGGCAGAGTGGCTTGGCAGCTGCTGAGGGAACTGCTTGGAAGGCCACATGTCCCCCCTCCACCGCCCCTGCCGCCCCAACTCCATGGCTGAAAACCCTTGCCCAGCCACATGTCCCCCCTCCACCGCCCCTGCCGCCCCAACTCCATGGCTGAAAACCCTTGCCCGGCCACATGTCCCCTCTCCACCGCCCCTGCCGCCCCAACTCCATGGCTGAAAACCCTTGCCCGGCTCCCCAGCATCATCTGGCGGGCCCTCTTCCACCCTCCATCTCCAGGCATGCTGCGTTGCTGTGGGTTCTTGCCAGCCTCTGATCTTGCTGTTTGTTCCTTCTGCCTGGCTCCCCCTTTCCACTCTTTCTGCCTCCTCTGCCTCATCCCGTAGGTTGCAGCAGAGCGATCCCTGCTTCTGGGACCTTCTGGTCCAGACACATGATTTTCTCTTGGCTCCTATGGCAGCGCCGTGAACTCCCTGACACACGAGCATCACCTTGACCTTGACCCCAGCCATGGGTCTGGGGAGGTGTCTGGCACTTGATGGATCCTTAATGAAGATTTGTTAATTGCAACCTAGAGGGGTGGGGTGGGGTGGGAGGTGGGAGGGAGTTTCGAGAGGGAGAGGACATAGGTGTATCTGTGGCTGATTCATATTGAGGTACTGCAGGAACCAACACGATACTGTAAAGCAATTATGCTTCAATTAAAAAATAAATAAATTATAAAAAAGGTTTGTTAATTGAATGGGTAGGAAAACGAACCTTGATTCCCTCTCTGCCCTAATTCCCCTTTTACTTTTACAAGAAGGGGAGAGGCATGTTTTTTCCCCTGCCTTCATCAGGCTGCTGTTGGTTAGGCAGGGTGTTGGGAGTGAGGTCTGTCTTTGAAGATTGCCTCCTGGCTTTCACTTCTGAGCACTACTGGGCTGGGCCCCACATTGATGCTTTTTTAAAAAAGGTTTTTTGATGTAGATCAATTTTAAAATCGTGGGGCAAGGTTTGGCCATGAGGCATGTGGGATCTTGGCTGCACCGGGGATCAAACCTGCGCCATTTGCGTTGGAAGATGAAGTCTTGAGCACTGGACTTCCAGGGAAGCCCCCTACATTGATGTTTGGATGTGGTCCTGTACTGACTGATAGCCTGGTCCTGTGTCATTTTTGGCTTCCTTAATGTTATTAGCCAATGTGTTTTGAACATTTATTATGAACGAGTGAAAGGAAAGAAAGTGTTAGTCACTCAATCATGTCCGACTCTGTGTGATCCCATGGCTCCTCTGTCCTTGGGATTCTCCAGGCAAGAATACTGGAGTGAGTTGCCATTCCCTTCTCTAGGGGATCTTCCCTACCCAAGGATCAAACCTGGGTCTCCTGCATTGCAGGCAGCTTCTTTACCAACTGAGGGAACCTCATTATGATCTATAGATACTGTTCTAAATACACTTATTCTTTCACCCACCACATAGGGATTCAGCCTTCACTATGTACCAGGCACTGGCAACCATGGATACACAGTGAGTGCAATTGACACATCCCCTGCTTTCACAGAGCTTGCATTTTGTAGAAAAATACAAATGATTAAATAAGTGTATACTGTGGCAGACGGTGATGAGTGCTCTGCGGAAGAGATCAGGGTAGGGGGTAAGGGAGGGACTTGTTAGTATGTACAGGATGGTCAGGGAGGACTCACAGAGAAGGTCACCTTTGAGCAGAGACCTGAAAGGGGTGAGGAAAGGAACGGTGTGGTCATCGGGGTGGGGAGAGCATTCTAGACAGAAAGCAGCAAGTGTAAGGCTCTGAGGTCAGGTCATGAGTGGCATGTCCCAGGAAGAGCAAGGAGGCGAGTATGGTTGGAAGGGAGTAAGTTCAGGGGAAGTGAGTGTGAAGTGAGGTCATATATGGCAGCCCTGGCTAACAGAGCTATGTGTGTGTCACATGTGCCATTCAAATTTCTTTCTTTAAAAAAGTTTTATTGGAGTATAGTATAGTTAACAACTTGTAAGAGTTCAGCAGAGTGAATGAATTATATGCATACATGTATCCATTCCTTTTTAGTGACTCATTTCCCATATAAACCATAACAGAGTACTGAGTAGAGTTCCCTGTGCTGCGAGGTAAGTCCTATTAGTTACATATTTTATATACGGTTACATATAGTAGTGTGTATAAGGCAATCCCAGTCTCCCAGTTTATCCCTCCCCCACCAATTCTGAAATTTCTCCCAGCTGCGTTAAAAACTTAAAAAGAAGCAAGTGAAATTAATGATATTTTTGTTTAACACACTATATCCCAAATATTATTGCTTCAACATATAATCAAGGAAAATGGGATTTGAAATGAAATGCTTTATTATTTTTTCTTATGATGATTTCAAAATCTGGTGTGCACATCTCACTTCGGGCTAGCTTCACTTCCTGTTCAGTGACCATGTTCAGGAGCCCCCACCATATTGGACAGCGTGGATGGAGAGGCCTGTGAATGAGATGGGGATGCCACTGGAAGCTTTGGGGCCCGGGAGCATTATCTCTGCCTTGGGTTGTAGAAGGTTTGCTCCAGCTGTGATGAGAGAAGACCTGTGGGGGTGGGAGGGGGTGGGGGTGAAGGGACAGAGCAGGGAGCCTGGAAAGGAGGCCCTTACCAGTATGCATTGGCAATGGTTAGGACCAAGGTGGTGGTGGTGAGGGTGACTGGATTCTGGTGTAATCTACCAGGTCTTTCTGATGTGGATGAGGGAGGAGTTTAGGAAGGGCAAAGATTTTTGGCCTGAGCTAGTGGAAACCTGGGCTTGTTCTTTCGAGGGTTGAGGAAGACGGGGTGGGGGCACCCCTGGGGGAGCACGTGGAGTGTGGCTTGCGATGCGGGCATCAGCCTTCCAGGTGCAGCTGATGGGCAGGCAGCTGGACCTCTTGAGTCTGGAGCTCAGAGTGGAGGTCTCTGACCTGGCTGGAGGTATAAATTTGGGAGTTGACAGTGTACTGATGGTGTTTAGGGCTGAGCATGAGCGGAAGGCCCAGGGGAGTGGGTGCCTATAGAGAAGAGGGGCCTGAGCCCTGGTGGAGAAGGTGGAAGCCGTGAAGCAGGCCTGGAGGGAGAGCTCACGGAGGCAGCGTGAAGGCGGTGAGGAGAGGGGCTGGAGGGGCCACCCGCTGTGTCCAGTGGGCCGGCGGGCAGAGCGGGAGGAAAGCCTGGGGTCTCTGATCGCTGCCTAGTGATCCAGGAGACGATGGGAGTGGAGAAGGCGACCACTGGTACAGGTGACTTGTTTGAGGGGTTTCGTTTAAAGAGGAGGAGAAAGATAGGTGAAGTGAAGTGAAGTGAAAGTTGTGTTCAACTCTTTGCGATCCTGTGGATAGTCCATGGAGTTCTCCTGGCCAGAATACTGGAGTGGGTTGCCATTCCCTTCTCCAGGGGATTTTCCCGACCCGGGGATCAAACCCGGATCTCCTGCATTGCAGGCAGATTCTTTACCAACTGAGCCACCAGGGAAACCCCTTTAGTAGGGGTATGTGGTCACAAGTTCTTTTTTTCCCTTAAAGATGTTCAGTGTATTAGCTGATGGAGAAGATGTAGTAACAGGGCAAAATTATCACGAGAGAGAGAGAGAGAAATGAGCTGATTCATACTCACAGCAGTGCGGTGAGGTAGGTACTGTTTTCCAGATGAGGAGATGGAGTAGAGGAAGGCCTGGTCACTTGCTCAAGGCCACCCAGTGATGAGTGTGAGGACCAGGGATCAATGCAGATGCGTCAGTGTTAGAATGTCCAGTCTTAACTACTCTGTTGGTTTCCCAGCTAGATGTGTGAGGTCTTTGGGAGGGTCCTCATCTNCCAGTCTTAACTACTCTGTTGGTTTCCCAGCTAGATGTGTGAGGTCTTTGGGAGGGTCCTCATCTCACACTTCCATGTCCAGCCCAACACCTCACAGGGAGAGAGGGCTGTGCAGAGGTGGGACTTGATAGATCTTTAATGATCAAGGACTTGGGCTGGAAGTGCCATGGGAGCGTGGGCGTGGCGTCCCCATAGTCCTTCCTGTCCTTGTGGGGTGGGGCATCGAGCAGACAGAAATACAGAAAAGCATTTGTTGGGTGACTGAGGAATGAATGAAAGCTACGGCGGTCCATCCTAAGCTGGGGCTGTCTGCAGTGTGCTGCGGTGCTGGCCGGATCTGGGCTTCTGCTCAGGTTTGCGTGTACTTGAAGATTCCGTTCAGTCTCACTAGCGTGCCATGGGGGGCAAGGGGCGCGTGCAGACTGTTTCTCGGCTCCGTGTGTCATCAGGATGCACAAGAGATGCTCTGTTGGTGGTGATGGTGGGTCCTCTGCTGTGTGTTCCCCTGAGAGCAGCTGGGCCTTGGGGGTGGGGTGGACACCAGGAGGAGCCTGACAGTTTCCGGGATTACAGCTTTGTGCCCGGGGTGTTTTGCTCTGCAGACGGGCACAAAGCTCAAAGCCACGGCTCGAACGCCGAGGTCCCGGCCCTCAGCACATCTGCACTTTGCTTGACGAGGGCTCCGCCCGCTGGAGTCCAAGGCTGGCTTCAGCCTTCTCCTCACACGGCCGAGCTCCCAGTCCAGCACTTCCAGTGCTCTGGGCACAAACTGGGCACAGTGGCACCCCATGCCATGGGGCCTTTTGGAATGTGTGGACACAGTTTCCGTGGTCGCCGTGCTGGGGATGAGGATGGTGGCAGTAGTTCTGTTTGTACCCTGGCTACGGAAGATCACAGTGGGAACTTCCTACGGGCTGGCAGTGCCCCCGATCGGAAGCCCTGCTCACTTGTGTGGCTGCTGGGTGCCCAGGGACCCGGGGACCCGTCTTGCATCAGCTGCTACCCTGTTATGTGCTCTTGAGCCAGTCCCTTTGTTTCCCCGTTTCCCACTTTTATGGACAGAGCCATGAACACCTAGTTGCTTGCTTTTTCGTCTTGTGATAGGATTTTTTTTTTAATTAAAGTATAGTTGATTCACAATATTGTGTTAGTTTCAGGTGTATAGCAAAGTGATTCAGTTATGTACATATATATTTTTTGAATTATTTTCCACTATAGGTTATTACGAAGTGTTGAATATAGTTCCCTGTGCTATACAGTAAATCTTTGTTGCTTATCTGTTTTAAGTATAGTAGTTTGTATCTGTTAATCCTATACTCCTAATTTATCTCCCTGTCCCCTTTCCCCTCTGGTAACCATAAATTTGTCTTCTGTGAGTATATTTCTGTCTTGTATATACATTCATTTGTATTATTTTTTAGATTCCACATATAAGTGATATCATATAATATTTGTCTTTGTCTGACTTACATCACTTAGTATGATAATCTCTAGGCTCATCATGTTGCTGCAAATGGCATAATTTCTTTCTTTTTTATGACTGAGCAGTATTCCATTGTGTGTATACATCACATCTTACTTACCCATTCATTCTGCCTGTGGACACTTAGGCTGTTTCCATGCCTTGGTTATTGTAAATAGTGCTGCTTTGAACATTGGGGTGCATATATCTTTTTGAATTAGATATAACCTTTTCTAGTTATATGCCAAGGAGTGGGATTGCTGGATCATATGGTGGCCCTAATTTTAGCTTTTTTCAGGAAACTTCATACTGTTATTGAAATAAATTTTAAATAAGGCTTTGGATTAACAGTTGTCATCCTAAAAGCACACCATACGTACAGCTTGCTCTGTGGGCCCACATGTTAACTCATTTGATCTTAATCACAGCCTTAGGCGGGAGGGCTGCTAAATAATCTCCATCTAACAGATGAGGAAGCCAAAGCAGAGAGCACAGTGACCCTGGGGGCTGTCCCCACCGTGGGCTGACTGCCCCCTTCCTTCCCTCCAGGGACAGGGGCAGACCCGGCGGTCAGCACCAAGAGCAACCACTGCCTGGATGCCGCCAAGGCCTGCAACCTGAACGACAACTGCAAGAAGCTGCGCTCCTCCTACATCTCCATCTGCAACCGTGAGATCTCACCCAGCGAGCGTTGCAACCGCCGCAAGTGCCACAAGGCCCTGCGCCAGTTCTTTGACCGCGTACCCAGCGAGTACACCTACCGCATGCTCTTCTGCTCCTGCCAGGACCAGGCGTGCGCTGAGCGCCGCCGCCAGACCATCCTGCCCAGCTGCTCCTACGAGGACAAGGAGAAGCCCAACTGCCTGGACCTCCGCAGCCTGTGCCGGACAGACCACCTGTGCAGGTAGGGGCTGCTGCAGCTCCGCGGGGAGCCGGTAGGGGGCGCTCGCCGGCTCTGTGTTCCGGTGTCTGCTGGGCTACCGTCGTGAGCCGAACAACGAGGGTGACTGGGATGTGTGCAAAGTGCATTGTCATCCATCCATCCACCCATTCATTCATTCATCCATTCATCTGTGCATTCCTTTATTCAGTACAGATTTATTGTGCTGTGTGCCCAGCTTCATGCTAAGCCCTGTGGGGTAACCAAGATGAACAGCTGTAGGAGCTCCTAACTTAAAATCAGAGACCCTGGAACCTGGAGTAAGAGAGGAGCTTCACTGACTTTAAGTCCACCTTTCCTCCTTTAAGGAAGCCCCAGCCCTTATCCCATTATCCCAGTGAGGTCCTCTGACCATCAGGGAAGGGCTCTTGCACATCTCAGAGGCAGCTCCTTCACACTGAGAGCTGAGCTCAGCAAATGTTGGATGGATTGTGGGGCATCTGATGGCCCTGGGTCTGAGTACAGGAAACTTCATACTGTTATTGAAATAAATTTTAAATAAGGCTTTGGATTAACAGTTGTCATCCTAAAAGCACACCATACGTACAGCTTGCTCTGTGGACCCACATGTTAACTCATTTGATCTTAATCACAGCCTTAGGCGGGAGGGCTGCTAAATAATCTCCATCTAACAGATGAGGAAGCCAAAGCAGAGAGCACAGTGACCCTGGGGGCTGTCCCCACCGTGGGCTGACTGCCCCCTTCCTTCCCTCCAGGGACAGGGGCAGACCCGGCGGTCAGCACCAAGAGCAACCACTGCCTGGATGCCGCCAAGGCCTGCAACCTGAACGACAACTGCAAGAAGCTGCGCTCCTCCTACATCTCCATCTGCAACCGTGAGATCTCACCCAGCGAGCGTTGCAACCGCCGCAAGTGCCACAAGGCCCTGCGCCAGTTCTTTGACCGCGTACCCAGCGAGTACACCTACCGCATGCTCTTCTGCTCCTGCCAGGACCAGGCGTGCGCTGAGCGCCGCCGCCAGACCATCCTGCCCAGCTGCTCCTACGAGGACAAGGAGAAGCCCAACTGCCTGGACCTCCGCAGCCTGTGCCGGACAGACCACCTGTGCAGGTAGGGGCTGCTGCAGCTCCGCGGGGAGCCGGTAGGGGGCGCTCGCCGGCTCTGTGTTCCGGTGTCTGCTGGGCTACCGTCGTGAGCCGAACAACGAGGGTGACTGGGATGTGTGCAAAGTGCATTGTCATCCATCCATCCACCCATTCATTCATTCATCCATTCATCTGTGCATTCCTTTATTCAGTACAGATTTATTGTGCTGTGTGCCCAGCTTCATGCTAAGCCCTGTGGGGTAACCAAGATGAACAGCTGTAGGAGCTCCTAACTTAAAATCAGAGACCCTGGAACCTGGAGTAAGAGAGGAGCTTCACTGACTTTAAGTCCACCTTTCCTCCTTTAAGGAAGCCCCAGCCCTTATCCCATTATCCCAGTGAGGTCCTCTGACCATCAGGGAAGGGCTCTTGCACATCTCAGAGGCAGCTCCTTCACACTGAGAGCTGAGCTCAGCAAATGTTGGATGGATTGTGGGGCATCTGATGGCCCTGGGTCTGAGTCCTGACTTTTCCACTCACTAGCTGTGTGAATTGGAGCCTGTTTTTCAAATGTCCTAGTCTCCATTCCTTTCGGAGAAGGCAATGGCACCCCACTCCAGTACTCTTGCCTGGAAAATCCCATGGACGGAGGAGCCTGGTAGGCTGCGGTCCATGGGGTCGCGAAGAGTCGGACACGACTGATGTGACTTAGCAGCAGCAGCAGTCTCCATTCCTTTACCCATGAAATGGGAATAAAACACCCACATCACAGCATTATTGTGATGATTAGATGACATGTGTGTTAAAGCTTAGCACAGAGTTTGGCATAAAGTAATTGCTTAATGAGTATCTAATTATTTGGAAGGTTTGTTTTGTTAAAGCGAGTTGAAATGTGTGTCCATAATTCTCCTGTTTTTCCTGTTTGTTATTAACATATTTATTGAGACTCTGTGGCATCCCGTGAGTGGTTCTAAAGCACGGGCAAGCAGAGGAGAACACAGTGCTCTTTGAGTAGCACACAGTCCAGAAGGGAGACAGAGGAGGGGAGCAGGGATCCCGATGCAGTGGGCTGAGAGCTATGGGCTCCTGGAGCAAGTGTGTAGGGGAGAGCCCGGTCTCAGCCTCGGGGTACAGAGGACAGGACCTTGACCTGAACCTTGGAACATGAGAATGAGGAAGCCAGGGAGAGAGTCCAGCATGCAAATACAAGGAATGCATGATGAGTCCACTTCTGTGGAGGGCAGCTGTTAAAGGGATGTATGGATGAAACATCTTTTTCAGATTATATCTTGTGTTACTTGTATGTGGGAAAAGCATATGTAAAGGCTGGAGGGTAGGAGAACGCCTGGGGTTATGGGTCCCTATGGGTGGTGGGTGCACGTGGAGCTGGGTCCTGGGGAGGGGAGGTCAGAGGTGTGGCTGCTGGGGAGATAGCAACTGCAGTTAAGCGGAGCCTGCTTATTGCGTCCCAGACAGCAGACTTCTATACAGTTTATCTCATTAGTTCTTGCAACAAGGCTATGAGGTAGGTGCTGTTATCATCCTTATCTGCCAAATGATCAAATAGAGGAAGTAACTTGCCCACGGTTGCACAGCTCCCTTGTTTCAGAGCTGGATCCTACCTCCATTACTTTCCTCCAGAGTAGCACCCTGGTCTGGCCTAAGACAGGGGCTGCAGGCGTGGAGAGAAGTATGTCAGTTCAAATCCCGGTATCAGTATCAGTGTGTAAGTGTAGGAGTGTATCAGTATTAGAAGTGTATCAGTGTATGAGTGATAAGTAGTCTTGACGGGCCTGGGGACTGGTGGAAATTTCCCTGGAGGCAGTGCCGTTTCTGTTTTGTTTACTCCACACTTGGGGTGGCTCGGATGACAAAGAATCCACCTGCAATGCGGGAGACCTGGGTTCGATCCCTGGGTAGGGAAGATCCCCCGGAGAAGGGAAAGGCTACCCACTCCAGTATTCTTGCCTGGAGAATTCCATGGCAGAAGAACCTGGTGGGCTACAGTCCATGGAGTCGCAAAGAGCTGGACATGACTGAACTGCTTTCCTTTCCACTTTCACTTTACCCCACACTTGGTCCTGCGCATGGAGCCTGGCTCATGGCGAGCGCGCTGTGAGCATCAGTTGGATGACTCCATGAGTGGTGGCCGCCATGTTTCCTTGTTCGGTAACTATGGGGCCATGGAGCCATTGGACGGGCGTGTTGAATGTGCAGCGTGTGAGGTTCAGAGGATGGAGTATTGCCACCCCCATGATGTCTTGGGGGCATCTGAATCTATGGTCCTGGAGCTCAATGAAGAAGCTGGGGTGGAGGAGTGGGACTGGGGTTGTTGAGGACCTGGGAGAACAGGGCTGCAGAGGGAAGGGAGCTCCGGGCCTGTGTGGCTGAAGGGGAGGCACTGCCTTGGTTTGGAAAATGAGCTGGAGTTTGGAGAAGGACTGATCCCTGTGGGGCTGGAAAAGCCTGAAGAAGGTGGGCTTTTCTCTTTTGCTTACTTAAAGAAACATACCTTATTGCCTACAAAAACAATTGGAGTGGGCTTCCCTGATAGCCCAGTTGGTAGAGAATCTGTCTGCAATGCAGGAGACCCAGGTTCGATTCCTAGGTTGGGAAGATCCACTGGAAAAGGGATAGGCTACCCACTCCAGCATTCTTGGGTTTCCCTTGGGGCTCAGCTGGTAAAGAATCTGCCTGCAATGCAGGAGACCTGGGTTTTATCCCTGGGTTGGGATGAGCCCCTGGAGAAGGGAAAGGTACCCACTCCAGTATTCTGGCCTGCAGAATTCCACGGACTATATATAGTCCATGGAGTCATAAAGAGTCAGACACAACTGAGTGACTTTGACTTTCAAAAATGAAACTATGAACACAGCAAGAGGATGATTAGAAGTAGAAAACTTGGGCCCAGAAAAGGAAGTTGGGCACCAAGGCAGCACATGTGTGCTCTAGGGTGGGGGTGGTGCTGGGCTGGGACTCAGCTTACTGAGAGCTGAGAAAAAGTCAAGACTTGATGGGGATGTCACTCCCAAAATGTGATGGGAGGAACCTACTGATTATTGAGTGGAGACATGAGTCTCCTTGTCCTAAATGCTACACTGACCTTGTCGGGCTGCATGACACACAGCACATGTGTGCTCTAGGGTGGGGGTGGTGCTGGGCTGGGACTCAGCTTACTGAGAGCTGAGAAAAAGTCAAGACTTGATGGGGATGTCACTCCCAAAATGTGATGGGAGGAACCTACTGATTATTGAGTGGAGACATGAGTCTCCTTGTCCTAAATGCTACACTGACCTTGTCGGGCTGCATGACACATAGTGTATGTGGGGTGACAGGATGGATGAGGGACTGGAGGAGCTAGAGGCCAAGCCTGAGTCCAGGATCAGTGACCAAAAGCTGGGGCATTGGGAGTAAGGCCAAGTGCACCAGGGCCGGGGCAGCAGGCCTGGCATCAAGCCTCAGGTGGACCTCTCCCTGGGGTCCTGAGCAGAGCAAACTTGGGAACACTCGCAGCCCCTCTCACTAGTGGTGTTTTAAGGGAGGAAAAGACTCTGATGTTGGGAAAGATTGAAGGCAGAAGGAGAAGAGGGCAGCAGAGGGTGAGATGATTGGACGACAACACTGACTTAATGGAGATGAGTTTGAGCAAACTCTGGGAGATAGTGAAGGACAGAGGAGCCTGGTGGACTACAGTCCATGGGGCCGCAAGGAGCTGGACCACGACTGAGTGACTAAGCACGCACCCGCAAGCGGGAGGACGAGGGGGTGAAGGCAGAGCCGTGTGTAGGGTGAGCCTGGCAGGGTCTGGGGACCGGTACAGTGCGCCCACGTATCCTTGGGGAGCTCTGCCTGTGACTCAGTGTGGCAGGTGGGTGGGCGAGGTTGCCATGGTGACCCTGCAGCCGGGAAACCTACCTTCTGTGCCTGCCCTACCCCTGGTCTCCTGAGAAGTCCTGGATGGCTGGTTTCATTGCCTGTGCCCTGGGTATTTCGTCACTGATCAACAAGGATGCTCCCCATTCTCCCAGGACACTTCCTAGTCTTTGGGTCTCAGTCCATCCATGGCTTTCCTGTCTGCCTTCTCCTCCTGTGATTCCACTTGAGGTCATGTTTCTGGAGAGGTGAGCTCTTGGTAAAAGAGGAAGTGACCAGAGATGCCTCATTAAGGTAGATGGGGTGGAAGGGCGGGTTTGAAGGAGAGGAGCTGACTTCTTTCCATGCTCTCGCGGGCTTGGCTTACTGATGCCTGGACCCTGCCTCTGTGGTCCGTGCTGAGCCCAGGAAGTGAGGAATGCCTGGCGAGGGGCCCCTGGAGACCAGGCAGTTCTCCCCTGTGCCCTCCCTTCCCTCCTGGCCTTGGCGTCCTCCAGGTTTCTGCCCACCAGTTGGGCACCACAGGTGGACGTCTTGACTGTAAAAGAGGGAGAGCCCAGTGCTATTGTGTTTGGAGCAGGAACTGGGGACCCTCAAGTCTTCCTCTCCTGCACACTTTAATGGATGGAACTGACCTTGATGGGGGCCATGGGAGGGCCTCCCTGGGCTGACTCTGGGAGTGCGGCCGCTGCGGGCATCTTCTGGAACACGCCCCACACTCTAGGGCTGTAGTGCCCAGCTTGCACTTCACTGGACCTGTCACCCCCCCTTCACCCTTCAGCTCTGGGACTTGGCCCAGCTCTGCCCAGGCTTTTCTTTGAGTGAATCTTGGCCCAGGACTTCTATGGGGGCTTTTCCCTGAGTCGCAGGCTTGGCTTACTGATGCCTGGACCCTGCCTCTGTGGTCCTGTGAGCCCAGGAAGTGAGGAATGCCTGGCGAGGGGCCCCTGGAGACCAGGCAGTTCTCCCCTGTGCCCTCCCTTCCCTCCTGGCCTTGGCGTCCTCCAGGTTTCTGCCCACCAGCTGGGCACCACAGGTGGACGTCTTGACTGTAAAAGAGGGAGAGCTCAGTGCTATTGTGTTTGGAGCAGTAACTGGGGACCCTCAAGTCTTCCCCTCCTGCACACTTTAATGGATGGAACTGGCCTTGAT